ACACACACACACACACACACACACACACACACACACACACACACACACACACACACACACACACACACACACCACTGTGCAGGTCAGAGCACGAAGTACAGTTAAAGAGACAATCCCAGTCAAAGTAGGACATCTGTCCCCACGAGGCCCAATCTCAGCATCCTGCGGTGACATAATATGCGAGAGCAATGAGTGAGGAATGAGCATTCGAGCCTCCTTAGCAACGGCACAACAGATGTTCACCCTCGCACCATCGTTCAATGCCAACAATGTTCTTCAGACAAATCTGACCACAGCGCCTCATCTCATGTTGCAGCACAAGCAGACGTACATCAGGAAAGCAGAAGAATCAAAACGATTTCAACCTCTTTGTGTTTGACATTTTGGTTATTAATCAGAAAATTCTCTTGCTCAAAGACATTCATTCCTGACGAGCTTTGCAGCAAATTGCTACAAATTTTAAGAATCGTTCAGGCTATAAAATATTTGGAAACTACGATAAGAATGAAGCCATAATAGATTAGAGCTATCGCATGCACAGACACAAACAAGGTGAAGAGCGCCTTAATTGGCGATGATAGTGTCTATGGTGCTAAAAGTTTTCCTATTTTATAGAGGTTTTAAGCGAATTCTATAGTTTTCTATCAATTATTGCATCATGTTTCATCACTAAAGCATCTGGAAGTGTCAGGGAAGTGCTTCCTCTCAGTGACAAACTCCCAGAAGAGTTCGCTTCTGGCAAGATTTTAAACACAAATTAATCAGATAATAATCTCTTGTCTTCTGATTCAGCTGATTAACATTAAGCAACTCTCTCTTGTCTCTTTTTGGAACAACGCCCCCCCAGTTGTTTTGCTGTTTGCAGATAATTTACTTTCAGCGCCTTTAGATCTTTTTTCTTCTTCACCCCTCTGCCACACACAGCCATACCTTCTAGCCATGTGCTTGCTTTTCACTGACAACACAAGCCAGCTGATCAGATGCATGCTAACAAAATTAGCCTGAACCGTTTGCTCGTTCAGCTGCTTGCCGCATGTTAAGAGCTCATTTTATATTGCTGCATTTTTACCTTTCGTCCTGCTGCTTTAAAGGACAAGCCTTATCAAAGTGCACACAGGGTAGAGACATTTGGGTTGGATTAGCTTTAAAAAATAAAAACATTAAGGGCTTAGACACCAAAGTCCATACTCAATAATCCAGGTATAAAATCTGACAATGTTCAGTCAGGAAACAAAGAAATTGTCCAGATGACCTGACTGGACACTGTTAGATTAAGAGACTAGTATTACTTAAATTAAATCTAGGCATGAGTTTGAAACTGAGGACATTTTATGTTGAGAAACATTTTGTACAAAATTTGAAAATAATGTTATGCACAATCTCATATCATTAACATTTGAATTATGTATTGTCAATGACTCTCAGCTACTGTCACACTAAATTTGAGCTTAATATCTCTAAAACTGATTAAGTCAAACCAATGTTTGTATGTGTCAGCCATCTTGAATGAAGTTTATGCCAAAACAAATTGATCAGTTGTTCATGTACATTCAATTTTCGCAGTTTCTGTCCTCTTATTTTAATTGTCCCCTCTTCAGGAGTCTCCACAGCACTACCTCCACGTCCTCTCTAACTGCATCCAGTGTTTATTTTCTGTGAGCTCCATCAAATCTGTCTAGTGATCCACTGCCGGGCCAAAAAAAAACAAAGTCGCCACCTGGATCTAACTAAGCAAATAGATACGAGCCTCCTATTGGATAATTACTGCATGGGCGATTATCTTTCAGCTGCAACAAGTTATTTAACCTCAACTGGTGCAATGAGTTGCTTCTCAGTTCTTCTTCTTTTTTTTTTTTTTTCATCTACCCTTTATTTATACAGGCAGTCTCATTGAGCCACGGGAACTCATTTTCAAGAGAGACCTGTTTTAGGGAGCAAATGGGGGTTAAGGGCCTTGTTCATGGGCCCAGAGTGGGGCGAATGAGGGTGGGGGCAGGTGTGGGTGCTTCACCTACCCCACCCACATTTTTGATGTTGTTGATATCGGGGCTTGAACTGGCGATCTTCCGATGACAGGCCCACCTTCTCTAACCTCTGCGCCACCACTCCCTCAACCATGTCAAAAGACACATCACGTGGTCGTGGAAAAGACGTCAGTCTGTTGGAGAAGGGTTAAACCATTGGCATCAAGCAGAGAAAACATCTAAGGAGATTGAAGAAACTACTAAAATTGGGTTAAGAACTGTCCAACGCATTGTTAAAAACTGGAAGGACAATGGGGACCCATCGTCTTCGAGGAAGAAATGTGGCCGGAAAAAAATCCTGAATGATCGTGATTGGCGATCACTTAAACGTTTGATGAAATCAAATAGAAGAAAAACAACAGTAGCACTCAGGGCTGTGTTTAATAGTGAAAGTAAGAGCATTTCCACACTCACACAATGTGAAGGGAACTCAGGGGATTGGGACTGAACAGCTGTGTAGCCTTAAGAAAACCACTAATCAGTGAGGCTAACTGGGAAAAAAGGTTTCAGTTTGCTAGGGAGCATAAAGATTGGACCCTGTAGCAATGGAAGAAGGTCATGTGGTCTGATGAGTCCAGATTTACCCTGTTCCAGAGTGATGGGCGCATCAGGGTAAGAAGAGAGGCAGGTGAAGTGATGCACCCATCATGCCTAGTGTCTAGTCATCAATGCAAGATCTTGGTGAAAATTAATGCAACACTGGATGGAAATAGATCTTGTGACATTGCAGAAGCTTATCGAAACAATGCCACAGTGAATGCATAACGTAATCAAAGCTAAAGGTGGTCCAATGAAATATTAGTGTGATCTTTTTTTTTTTTTTTGGTGGCGACTTTATTTTGGCCAGGCAGTGTATTTTGCTAAAATATAGTAATTTTGACTTCAACAGTAAATATTAAAAATATCATACAATGCATTATGCTCAAATGAGGATGACCTTCGGCTACAACAACACAAAGTTGTAACTATGTATTAATTGAACTGTAGCCATTGTTTTGTCTTTGCTTGGGTGGCTTCATTGTGGTGAATGGAGTTGACTTTTTTTTAGATTTTACACTTTCTGAAAGTTTGTTTTTTAAATCACTCCACTTGTTTATAAGATATTTTACTAACACCACTGACAAATGCACACAAACTGAGGCCAAATCAAACAAGAAAAAAACAAAGTTGCCCACCTTTTAGCTACTGACACCAGACAATAATCATATAAAGAGTGAGTGGAACTTCCTGCAGTGCTGTGAGTCGCATTTATTCTGCACCGAAAGCAAGATGTCGCCACAAGTGTGTTATTTGTCAAGAAAATGGTTAACGACTGCTGTGTGAGGAGGTGAGGCAAAACACTATCAAACACGCGTGTGTGCGCGCGCGCACACTCTCCCTCACCCTGTTTGCGTGTGTATGTGTGTGCGCTGCGCACACAGGTAACAAGCTGCTCCGCCACTGCGCAACGATGGAGCGTTCACAGCGATGGAGATGACGCAAACACAGACAGTTCTCCGAAAAAGTGTTTCAAGACGAACATGGCGGCAACTTAGCCGAGGTCCAAGATGACAGCGGCCACCAGGAGAACGATTCCCAGGCTTTCCGCCCAGAGACGGGAGCTGCCCGCGACGGAGGGTCTCGCAGCTGCTCGCCTTTAAAGACAACCTGCAGATCGCGCAGCATCAGCACCGAGCGAGAGGCTTGCAACAGCTGGTCTCTCTGCACCCCCCACCCCCCCTGCACATACACCCCGGAGTGGGACGTGAAGGAGAAGCGGGGGGTGGATGGGTGGGGGGGGATATGCGGTCAAAGAGGACGCAGTTTTCTCCCGGAGAGCCGCGGAGAGCCGGGATGCGGCAGCGCAAAGTTGAGTCTGTGCGCGCGCGCTAATTGGATAAGGAAAACTGCGCCGGTCGCTGCAGGAGCCCTGGACCGGCGGAGGAGGCAAGGCACCCCCCCACCCCCTCACCATCAACACAGAGAGGAGAAGCAACCCGAGTCAGCCTCCCCTCCCCTCCCCCCTCCGCCGACAAGTCAATGAGCATTGTGGCAGAGCAGCCCCCGCGGTGGAGTCGGTCAGGCCAGCACTCTCTCCCTAAAATATGACCAGGGGTGCTCGGATGCAGCATGACGGAGGCTTGAAACCCCGGTTCGCACCCCGAGAGGACGAGAAGCCATTCACGGAGCCGGAGCGGGCCCAGAGATGGCGCCTGTCGCTGGCCTCCCTGCTCTTCATCACCGTCCTCCTCTCCGGTCACCTGTGGTTCTGCGCCGAGGCCAAACTGACGCGAACCCGAGACAAGCGGTCCGATGAGGGGCTCTCCGTCACGGACATGAGGGTGGTGGGCGAGGAGCCCCCACACCGACAGCGAACCTCCACATCAGCTGACCCCCACCGCCTCGCCAGAGAGCAAGATGTTATTTTTATAGGGAATTCTACCAAACCTCTGTGGCGGATGGACACCTGTCACCCGGACAGCCTGTTCAGGGACTGCTTCACGTTCACGGACGCGCTGACCGTGTGCCTGGGCCTCTCTGACGGAGGGGACGAGGGGACACCGTCGGCGTACGTGAATTTAAGCGATTTGTACCTTTCCTTTTGTAATTCCTACTCACTTTTGGATTTGTTTTACGGGTTTACGAGTCCGGACGTGGCGAACTGCACCTTGGATACGGCCACGGGGGTGGACGTGCTGGGGTGCAGGGAGTGCGTGCAGGCTTATCAGCGTCTGGATCAGCAGGCGGAGGACAACTACCGGGAGTTTGAGCTGCTCGTGCAGAAATACGAGACGGACGCCTACTCTGTCAGGACGTGCATGGAGGAGTGCAAGGTAGGGAGACCGAATGGGGGGCCCGGGGTCAGGGCGCATGCACGATAACGCACGTGCGTCGAAAGGGAGGCTGGTTGGCATGGCAACCACTGGGCATATCTGCACGTTATGCGAGTTCAGGTTACCAGAGCATCCAAGGTTTGCATCCAAACTCACATCTGCAGATATTTGCAGGGAACTGAGGGGAGATAGACAAAAGCTTTTATTCTTTAAAATTTAAAACATTATGCAAAAGTATTTATTCATCTTTCATTTGTTTTGCACCCACAAGGAGCCAGAGTTTTATTTTTATTTTTTGCAGTTTTTTTTTTCCCCCTCTCTCTTTGAAATCTTTTTTAAATGGTCTTCATCAGTAGTTTTTATTTATTTATTTATTTGACTGAACAACTTTCAAAGTTTATCTTTGCACTTTGGCTGGTTTTGTTCTCACTTTCAGTCCCGTCAGAGACAGCTTGTTTCATAGGCCATTATGGTAACTCAGATTTACAAAAACTGGACAAATAAACCAGGTTTGTGTCAAAAACGAACAACTTGGGAAATAACAGATTGTGAACTGTGTTTATTGACACTTGGCTGTGCTTGTTTCTCTTTAATCACATGAGCAATAATACATTTTCGCATTACTCACAGATTTATATCCAACTATCAGGTAATAACGCAGCATTCACTGTAAACAGAATGCACATGCATCTCTCAGGTCTCGTGTCTGATCTCTGCTGCATTGTTCTCTGTTTCTTAGAAAACATGATTTGCAGATACAGTTATTAGTTATTTTACTATAAATACTATTTATGGCTTAATTTTATTTTTTCCTCCACTTGTTTGCGTCCCTCATTATATTAAGCAAATACTACATAATAGATGCTGTCATTGCCAGGTACAACTAGATAAAAATAAAAATCACTGAGTGCAGCTAAAGTCCAAAAGAAAACAAACTTTTAAAGATCCTCTTAAAGCCCCATAAACATTCATTAAGACCACTTCAAATTCAAATTCAGATATAGTTTATTAATCCCAAAGGGAAATTAATTGTTGTAGCTCATCTTGGTTTCATTAGAGTTGTTTTAGATGCTGATGTCTTTGGGCAGGAAGGATCTCTTGTAGCAGTCCGTCCCACGGCGGATCCGAAGAAACAGGCTACAGATGTAAATCTGTCCACCCAGACCCAGCAGAACCCTCGGTCCTCTTGGGCAGCAGAACTGCCTGAATGTTGGGCAGAACTTCTCACTGAGCGATGGCCATTTCTTCCAGCATCCTGCCAAGCCCCTCATTGCCACAGCCTTAACTGCAGGTGCCAGGGATCTTGGTCCTCCTGCTGTCACAAGCTGCGTTTCCCGCTACCTCCACGATCTCTGCAGTCAGGCACTCAAGCACCACCTCCAGTAGACGGGAATGCATCCATGGCACCTCCTTTTCAACTCATTTGGGATTTGGGGCTGTAGTTGAAATTTGAGCTTGTGCGATGTTAATCAGCAGCTCGCCGTTGTAGAAAACCACCTTGTTGTTATGGTTACGCATCAAAACAAATGTTCAAAAGTAAAAAAGGTTTCAGTAAAAATCCTGCCAGCAGTAGCATCTGATACCAGAGGGAGTAATCATCCGAAAAAGCGATTTGCATTCAGAAAAAAAAGATTAATTAAAGTTTTCAAAAGCAAAATCTCAGAATGAATGTGAGAGATACTCCAACATGCAGCCACTTTGAGCGGCACAATTCTGGAAATAAAATAAATAATTAATTTAAAAAAAATTAAATAAAATAAGAAGTCTGGCTTGTTGCAGCAATATCAGAAGTGAGTAAATTAAAATTTTGCAGCACTCCTATAGTCTGCAACACATCTTGTTTTAAACTTTAAGTCTTGTTATGTTCTGATTTGTGTCCAGACTGCTCAGTAAACTGGGTATGAGGAAGTGATATTCAACATATGGGATTTGATTCACAATGCTTCATCACACTTCCATCAGATGAGGAGAGAGAGAGAGAGAGGGGGGGGGCAGACCTGTGCACTTTTTAATATAAATAATAGCATCCTAGTTATTTCTGCACCTAATCCAGGCTTTGCTCTGTCCCCAGTCCACTTGTTGGTTACCGTTTACCGTTTTATTCTTGGACACTCGGCAGACCTGACGTTTCACCATGTTTGTTGAGATGCATGATCTCGTGTTAGGTTGGTTTAAGCTCATTCGTGGGCTGAACAATTAAAAACACAAAAAGAGCCAGGGTTGAGACATATTGGAGGAAAATATTTTGTTTCATTTGCATGAAATTGTTGCAGCGCGTTGTCTCTCTTCTGTCAGCTGTTTCTTGCAGTAACTGTCCGTGGTGCTGAAAGTGGATGGAGAAGAAAACACATTTCAGACAGAAACAATGGATGCGTCTGTTTAAGCACTTGTCTATTTCTAGTTATTACTGTTATTCCTGCAATAAATAGTTGTAGAGATCAAGGTCAACTAACAACCTTGATATTCACATCAGTTTATCAAGTCTACCAGTTCCACTCAGACCGGTGGTGTATATTTTTAATGAGACAGATTTAGAGGAAATGAGCATAATAATAATAATAATAATAATAATAATAATAATAATAATAATAATAATAATAATAATAATAATAATAATAATGAAAAGGGGGATTTAGAGAGAAAATCAAGCCTAAACCTTGGAAGGCAGGAATTTTCCAATCCTTCAGATCTGCTGTCATAATCATCCTTCAGCTGAAACGAGTTCTTGTAGGAGTGGTGTTGTCGATGGCAGACAGTCGTGGGGTTCTGTTTGGCTGTGAGTGCTGAAAATCTGTGTTTGAGCTGGAATGTAAGTGGGAGGATAAACCCAAGGATGAACTTTCGCAAAGAAATCAGGTTCTGCTCGGTGTTAGCTTTGTGTCACCGTGTTGTCTAACGACTGCTGCATGCAAACCACACGTGCACGAGGCTTCTTTCTATAACAGATCAGGCAGTTTACTTCTTTATCATGACATCTGAGCTATTTGCTCTTCCACTCCAACTTCTGGCTAATGTGATGACGTTCAGGCAGGGTTGCTTGAGACTGTTAACCTCTTTAGCTTGATTTGAAAGGCTAATCTGCTTCCCTGTTTGTGTGACCTTTTTAGAAAACACAGCACATTAGGCCAAAGTATTTTGTCTCGAAGAACCACTCTGTGTAGCTATAAAAGACTTGAATGAGCGATCTAAAGACAGCAGTTATTTTTTTCACATCTTTTTACTCTGTTTAACAGCCCGACCATAAATCAGTGTTAGAACATTTGATTTTTTAATAACTATTTGATTGAAATGTGTTAGATTACTAAATTACATGTAAACAAGAATATGTAAAAATATTTAAATGATTGCATTTAGCAAGATTCAAAGTAAGAACTGCAGAAAGAAGAGGTTATGTTTTTTTTATTATTATTTAGGCGACAAACCATATGCAGTAACAATGTCTGCAATCATCTTTCATGCATACAATAGATGCAACTCGCCCACAGTCTTCTTTGAGCAAATATGAGCTGTGGGTTCACGTCAGGCCAATTTTATTTACTGCCTTAAAGAATCGACTAGTTTAGAGGCTATTCCAGGTTAAAAAAAAACATGCTCAAACAATAAAGTAATGAAGAGTCTCTACAGAGGTGAAACAACAACAAGAATGGCATTTAGGAATGTTAGAAAATAAATATAGCCATATTCAACGTAACAAAGCTAAGTGGTGAATATGCAACAAAGGTATGGAAAGGTCTGCCTAACAGCTTTGCAAATTATCTACATGGAGGACCCTCATGCATGATACTGGTAAATGAACAAGCATCCATCATGTGTGACTCATACTTATTTATTTTATTAATTTTTTAACAAATAAAACCTAAAAGAGATGTTCTCAATGATTGTCAAAGCCACAAGACATCTGTACAGGGTCAAGCTCTGGGCAGAGCAGTTATCGGTAATACAGTCAAGGCGTCTGACATCAGCTTACAGAGCACAGAGCCGAGGAGCTGCATGAGACTAGAAACCTCTGCAAGTTGAAATGACAAGTCTCTTCTTCAAAGGTAATCAGAAATAAATGGTACATAATGATTCATTTCAGTAACAAGGGTTATTTCTGCAGAAATATAACAAACCTGACAGAAATACCCCAGGCTGTACAGGAAGTGCTACAGCTAGCAGCTGCTTCTTTTATTTCTTATAGAAAATGTAGGGACTTGTTTGATTTCTGCACTATTTTGTCTGATCAGAAGTTCAACCAATGACCATGTTATCCACTACTGCGTATGGACGAGTGACAGCTAGTTTTGTTAAGAGCTTCATCTGTGACTCCAGCATGAGGTCAGCTGGCTGTTGTCAGAAGGTACACGTTTCTCTGCTTTTGTTTTGGTAGCCTGTCTGTGCCAGTTGCTTCTTTAATATAATTATATTGGTTATCTTGTGGGGTGGCACATTTGGTAGAGCTGCCTCTTAGCAAGAAGGTCACCAGATTGAATCCTGGCCGAGGGCCGTTCTGGGTAGAGTTTGCATACTCTCTCGGTGCACGTGTGAGCTTTCTCCTGTTTCCTCCCACAGACCAAAAACATGCATGTTAGGCTGATTGGTAACTCAGAATTGCCCCTAAGCGAGAGTGGATGTTTTTTTTGTGTGTCTCAATTGTCTCTCTGTGTTGGACTAGAGACCTGTCCAGGGTGTCCCCCCGCCTCTCTCACAGTGACTGCTGGACATGTGCACCAGTGACCCCTGTGACCCTAAAAGAAAGAAGTGGGTAAAGCTAATGTATGGATGGATATTGTGTCATGGGTTTTCTCTCATTACTTCCTTCTAGAATGAGTAGTGGTATCCTCTGCATGCTTTGTCGTGTCGCTCTATGAAACAGTTTGCTAGCAAAACTTTGGCATTCAGTGTCTGCTAAACACAATGTTTTTTTAAATAAAACACTATTTTTTAACATTTTTAAATGCTGTTCAGAGTATTTTAGGACAGCCTGATCTGCTGTCATCTAGCTCCTGCAAGCTACTACC